ATACTGGATGTTTGGCCTTCTTCCCCTGGAAGGATTGTTTACCGAGCTCACACTGAGCAGGGGAGAAACCTCCACATGTGCCGTTCAAGTCCCTCACGGAAATCCAAGTGACAGTCCGCTCCAGTGCTCCTCCGGGTCCAAAGAATGTCTACCTGTCCACTCTTCAACATGTCCCCCAACATCAACCCACACAGACTGAATGCCAGTGAGAGAAGAACCCCCCCCTAACGTGAGTCCCTCACTTGCATTTTACCTTCTGCATTCAAGATTCCCACGGTTCCTGAACTAACCGTTGTGATATCCCCTCCAGACATCCAATTCCTGTTCACCAGCTACCTGAGTTCCAGATCACACTTCCCCTGTACCCTCATCCCAATAAACCGGTTAAACCTTTTTTCCTGGTTCTCTGCATCTTTGGGTCTGACCTTTAAAAACACACCATGACAGTATATAAATATGTGTATATCCATGTGTTATCTTCTCAGTTCTGAGGGCCCCCTGCCTGTCTTTGCCTAGGGCCACAAATGTCCTAAATCTGCCCCTGTCCATGGGTGCTGCACAATGGCAGCCAACTGCTCCCTCAAAATATAGGGAGTCAATTTCTCCATTGTGGGGCAACAAAGGGATTTACTTTTTTTTTTTTTTTTTTACATACAAAACAAGAGCAAAAAAAAGTGCAAAGCAGTGATGCGTTGCCCTGCTGCTGCCAACAGCTTTAAAACAGGAAGCGTGCAAAGATAGTAAACACCAACCACAGGACAAAAATAGAAAAGGCCCCCCTATTTTGGGCCTGTTTGCAGGAAGTGTGCATGCCTCCGTAGGATGCAGATGACAAAGAAAGAAGCAGAAGTGAAAATAGTTGTGTTGCCACAAAAGAGAGTTTGCAAATTGGTTTCTATGGCGTGAAAACTGTTTGGGTCTAAAAATAAATTTGTTTGTCAGAGTGGCTGAAAGAAAACCTTTAAAAAAAAATCAAATACTGTCAGAGAACTGAAAGGTTTTTATCCTTTTCAGCAACGTTTCCAAGTCCTCCTACTGTTGTTAATCACTCATTGTTCAGTCTACAGACTGCTTTATTAGCCGTCACTCTTTGGGAGACACCGAGCAGACTTGTTGTCCAACACTGTGTCCCCTCCCTAACGCTCAGCGTCCTGAGGACAATGCTCCACTTTCACAGTGGGGCACTCCGTCGCCCACGTTCAGGGCTGGGCCCATGCAGCTGAATCGCAGCTTTGAACCACCCACTGGATTTTCGCTCCAAGGCTGCAGTGCAATTAGTGGTGGTTTTTACATTTCAGTTGGTGGGTCAGTGTTTATATTTAGCTTGGCAAGAGGCTCTGTATTGAAATAACAGGCCTTTCCCATGCCGCCCTCCCCCCCACCCTCGCTGTAGCCTTCGTGAGGCTGCAGGTACGGAAAAGAACAGATTTTATGGATTTCTTTTTTACAATGGAGGAATAAAAGTGCTGCTTTGTTCCTCCCAGGCTAACCACCAGACGGAGGAACACAAACGCTTTTTCCTGCTCCTCAGTTCAGAGATCCTGATGAAAATGCTTCTAATTGGTCTGAGATGGACGGCAAAGAAACCGAGAGAGAGAGAAGAAACAACAGAAAGGAGCAGAGAGGTCAAAGGAGGGGCGTGGTTTTCATTTTCAGAACAATTTTTTATTGAATTCAGTTTAATTGATTTTAGTAATAAAAAAGAGCATTTGTTAAACATTAATGGATGGATGGATGGATGGATGGATG